CTGCCTCAGCCTCCGGACTCATTGCTTCTTTGATGGAGCTGTCCATTCCGTACCTGGGATTACAGGTGTGAGCGACTGGGCCTGGGGAAGCCAAACACTCTGGAAGAAAGAAACCTTCAGAACTTTCTTCTTTTGAAGAAAGAAGAAAGAACTTTCTTCTTTCTTCAAGAAACCCTGTAGACACAGACTGGTTTCTTCCTTTCTTTTCTGTTTCGGTTTGGGTTTTTATTGTTGTTTGTTTTTTAAGTTTTTGACATGCCATGTGACCCATAGACTGTTTTCTGTCTCCCTTAACTTAGGGGTCTCCTTCGAGGGTTCTCAGGCTGCAGGAGGGTGGCACATGCCAGGCTGGGTACCCGTGGACGATGGCGTACTGGGCCTGGCTGGCTTCATTCTCTTCCAGCACTAGCCCCCAGCAGTGTTCCCTTGGGCAAGTCACTTAACCTCTCCGTCCTTCATCTTACCTATCAGATGGAGATAAGGACAGTGCTCCTCATTCTGCCTTTGTGAGGAGTCAGTAAATTCCTTGACACAAAGAGCGCACTCAGGCACTTACGCGTTACTTACGAAACCACCATCAACAACAAAACTTGACCCAGCACTGAGATCCAAGCCCTGTAGGCTCCTACTGTATGGGAACCCAGAGCTGCCTGCCCATTCAGGGTTAAGCCTTTGGGTTGCTCTCTCCCCTCCACACTCACCTCGCCTGGTCCATCATGAACATTATGGAGCATCCTCTTAGCTAGGTGGCAGCACAGCCCAGCCCTGCTTCTTAACGGCTGTGTGTCATTGAGACAGATTTTTCCAGCCTTAGTCTCCTCGTCTGTAAAGTAGGTAGAAGAACACTGGTGGGGCTCTCCCCACGGCTGCGGAGAATCAAGCCTGGAAGTGCTTCGTAAACCTGAGTGTGGGTGCAGATATGAGAAACTGTCCTGAGCGCGTGGCTTCTCCTTGCCCTCACCCCCCAAGAGAGGTAGCAAGTAGCTACATCCGGCCAGTTACCAAGCCCAGCGAGGAGGACGGTGTCTGTCTTCAGGTGGGCTCTGCCCAGAGGGTAGAAGGCAGAGCCCACCCTGTTCCTGGGTGGTGGAGCCCCAGGCACTATCACCCCTTCCTGTGGTGCACAAGGCACGGGGAGGGGAGGAGATTGCAGAAACATGCTGAAGGGTCAGGGTCTCTGTGCATCGGCCTGGAGGGGGGTGGGCGGGTCCAGGCGGCCTCTGTTGGAAGCCTTTGGAGAGAAAACGTGGCTGGGGTTCCCAGTAGACTTGGCGGGCATTCTAAGACCAGTTAGGCACACATCCTTTGATGGAGCAGTCCATTCTGCCCCTGGACATACGTATGAAGACATTCTCACACCAGTCCTTAGGAACAGATGGGGGCCCCCTGAGTGTCGTGCTGGCACAGTAGAGAGGAAGCAAGGGGGACACACTGCATTAGACATTCAACAGCAGCCAAAGGCAGCGGTCTGTGTGCACGGGGCCTTGGGGCTGGATGGGACACCACACAGCACTGTTATACCAGGCATGAATACCCTTCCCCCGAGGGGACCCGGACTTATTGGAGAAATGGCTGACCCTGGGCCTGCCGCAGGGGAAGGCTCACAGTGAGACTTACTAGAAAGTAATGAAGTAGCCAGGCACGGTGGTGCACACCTGTAATCCCAGTGGCTCTGGAGGCTGAGACAGAAAGATCACAAGTTCATGGCCAACCTCAGCAATTTACCGAGGCCCTAGGCAACTTGGTGAGACTCTGTCTCAAAATGAAAAATAATAAGGGCTGGGGATATAGCTCAGTGGTAGATTGTCCCTGGGTTAAATCCCCAGTATAAAGTCAATCAACCAAGGAAGGAAGGAAGGAAGTATATCCCCCAAATGCTGGAAGCATGTCAAAATCACAGGAAGGGCCAGTGGTAGACCATATTCCTGGCACGTACAGAGCCCTGGGTTCAGTGCCTAGCACTGAAGGAAAAACAGACCTAGGACCCAAGTTGACAGGGTTCCCACTGGACAAGCCTGGGACAATTTCAGCACCAAATTAATGCTAGTTGAATTGTAAATCACTAGATGCGGAGGGTTCCATACTGGTAATAAATAGAGGAGGGAAGGCGGGCTTTCCTTAGAGTGTCAGGGTTCTGTTCGTGAGGGAACGATCATAATTTTGCAAGCACCATAAAGATCAGATTGGCAAGAATCAGCAGTGGAAGCTAAATCCAGGGCAATGGAGGCTAAATGTTGGTGAGCAGCAGGATACTTACATGCTCTTGAAAGTATTTCCACAGGCTTCTTGATAGCGGCGGGGGAGTGGGGGAGAAAACAGCAGTAATGGAGTAATTGTGCAGTGGAGAAATGGAGAAATCACGCACCACTCTGACTAAGTGATCAGAACACAAATTAAAGATGGACTCCATGTGCCCCTCAGCGGGATGTCCCAAGGAGGACACCCGCTGTGAGTCCTTCAGGCTGAGGATGCCTCCCCCCTCCCCCATCTCATCATGACAAACACCAAATCAAAGACTCTCCATCTTTCAGATTAGGAAACTAAGACCCGGGGCGGGTGGTAGAGTTGGTAAAGCCGGGGCCTCAGTTGGGTTTATTAATTTCTGAGTCTGTCCTATGCTACGCTGCCTCTTCATTTAGAAATCTGTCTGTTGGACCTTGAATTAATCAGATCATTATATTTGTCACCAAGTGGCATTTGGGATGAGTCTTGAGAAGTGCCCTAGTATCTTTACATAAATCGAGTGGCTGACAGTTTGAAGCTTGATTTCCACTGGAGCAGTAACAGGAGATGGGTTTGTTTTGATTCCAGAGAACATTTCACCCTTGGATGTTGACCCCCGGGCCCAGCTGGGAACTTCCACAGAGCTTGGACAGGGCAGTGACATAAGACGGGCACGGTGTCCAGGGTCCAGAGTCCTGACAAAGCCAAGTTTTTCACTGACTTCCTTCGGTGAAGCCACGTTAGTCCTGGCTCCTCCTGTGGGGACTCCCCAGTGGCATAATGGACCGGATTATGTGGCAGAGAATGGTGTTCCCATGGTCAATAAGAATTTCCACTTGCCTAGAGCAAACGATATCCTATGCTTTTATTACCAGGTCAAAATGAATCCTAATGTTATCTATAACTAAAAAGGACTAAATTTTTTTTTTCACGGGCACCTTCTTTTCTCTCAGTAGAAGATTTCTTAACTTCATGCATATAATATTCTTGGAGATGTTAAGATATGATTCGCTTTTTTGTTTGGTACTGGGGTGCTTTATCACTGAGCTACATCCCCAGCGCTTTTTATTTTATTTTATTCATTTTTAAAAATTTTTTTTAGTTGTAGAGGGACACACGATGTCTTTGTTTATTAACTTATTTTTCATGCAGTGCTGAGGATCAACCCAGTGCCTCACACATGCTAGGCAAGCGCTCTGCCCCTGAGCCCCAGCCCCAGCCCCTCTTTATTTTTTTATCTTGAGACAAGGTTTTGCTAAGTTGCTGATGGACTTGCTAAGATGCAAGAGACTCGCCTTGAATTTGAGATCCTCTTGCCTCAGCCTCCAAATGACTGGGATTACTGGCATGCACCACTGCGCCCTGCTAAGATGTAATTCACATGCCATACATTTCACACATTTGAAGTGTACAATTCAGTGGGCGTAGCATAGCACAGTGTTAATTTTTAAGATTTCGACACTATAAAGAACAAAGTTTGCCATTTTCTTAAAAAATATTTTTTTAGTTGTCAATAGATCTTTATTTATGTGTGGTGCTGAGAATCGAACCCTGTGCTTCACACATGCTAGGCAAGCGCTCTTCCACTGAGCTATGACCCCAGCCCCAAATTTGCCATTTTAACCATTTTTAAGCCTGTCACTCAGTGGCAATAATTACCGTGATGGTGCCATGTACTTATTATCACTGTCCATTTCCAAACTGTTTCTGTCACCTTAACAGAAATTGTAACCACTCCCCATTGCTCCTTCTCCCGACCACTGGTCATCTTGACTGTACTTTCTGAGTTGGTAAGTTGGGCTATTCTAGATTCCTTATAAGTGGAGTCACACAGTATTTGCCCTTCTGCACTTGTCTTCTTTCATTCGCATGTCAGACCCGCTGACAGTCTGTAATTCTGGTACAGCAGAGATGCTTAAGACAGACACCCGCGTGCGCGCGCGCGCACATACACACACACACACACACACACACACACACGCATTCAGTAGAAAATGAGCACCATCTTTACTTTTTTCTCTCCTTTTATACAGCATTGTTAATTAAAAGAAGGGGAAAGAAAAAACATCCTTTCGGCAGCTTAATCCTTACAAGCATGGATAAATGCTTTTTCCATTCTCAGGAAAACTTTGTTTATGGTCACAGTGCTCTGTGTTTCTTATCAATTAACTTGTGGTTAGTTATTCCCAGGCAAACACACACACACACACAATATATATAAAATTTTACACTTGGCAGATCATTCTTTTATCTTCTTAAGACAGCAACAAGGACACAGTTCAAAGAGTTCATTCTTTCTCACAGAACTCCTTGTTTTGCTAAGCACGGCAAAACTTAACACTTTGTGTGCGTGAGCACACATTAGCACAACATTTTCAAGTTTCATCCATGATAAGACATGTATCAGAATTTTCCTCTTTTTATAGTTGAGGTTATTCCATGACGTGCACACACCACATTTTTGTTTCTCCATGAGGCTGCTATGGATTGTGCTGCTATGAACATTCACGAAATAGCCTTGAACCTTGTCTTTAACTCTTTCAGTTCCACCTAGAAGTCGGATTGCTGGTTTATGTAGCAATCCTATGTTTAACCTTTGAGAAAGCCACTTCTTATTTGGAAGGATGCTTCCCTCCATGGCACCAGGTGCTGAGCCCCAAGGGCAGGGGGCAGGGAGAGCCGCCCCTCACCACCATGTGGTCCTAGTCTTGCTGCTGCACCGTCCTCTGCCCCACCTACCTGCCCCCACCCCCTCTGACCTGTCCCTCTCTCCCCAGCAGATGTGCCCGTGGAGAAGCTGGCCGCCATGCCCGCCCTGCGCAGCGTCAACCTCCGCTCCAACCCTCTGAATGCCGAGGTGCGCGTGATCGCCCCGCCACTCATCAAGTTTGACATGCTCATGTCTCCAGAGGGTGCACGGGCCCCTCCACCTTAGAGCACCCTCCTCATTACCATCTCAGGGACAGAGGCCATTGGCCTGTCACCTGAAAGGAGGGAGGCCCATGGGAGGCTAAGCTGGGGGGCTGAGGGTGGGTAGGCCAAACAGAGTATCGCGGGAGTGGGGTGCAGCGAGTCCAGGATAGCTAGTTTAGAGCAGTAGAGGCCCTAGAGCATTGAGAAGGAGGAGGCTGAGTGGGGGCTGGAGCCTGGATAGTGGGCACACAGCTGCTGTGCAAACTTGGGCAGATCCCCTACCCTCTCTGAGCCTTGTTGCCTGGCAGAGGGCTTTGGCCTCCTTTAGAGTCCTTGGAGGTTTTAGCTTCAAACCACCAGGCGCCCTCTGAGCCCGCAGATGAGTGCAGCTGAGCATCTTCTGGGCCTCCGTGGGCTGGAGGCCTTGTTTCTAGTGCTGAGAGCCAATGGCTTCCCTGAGAGGAGTGGAAGACAACCCTCCACCTGCTGCTTCCTGAGAACTGAGGATGATGCCTTTTGCCACGCCCCTCCTCCACCACCTGGCTCCCTGGGCCGGCAGGAGCCTGAGTGGGAGACCCGGGAAGGCCGTGGCCTCGAACAGGGCAAGACGTTCTGCAGATGCAATGCACCCCGAGGATGGACCCTGGGGAGAAATCAGGGCAGCTCTGTCCTTCCTTGTGAAGAACACTGAGTGGGCAGGAAGTCCTGAGCGCTCCACACCTCCCCAGGGAAGGACTTCCAGCTGTGCCTGGTCCTCACCCCTGAGCTGCAGGAGAGGTGGCCCAGGGACAACAATGCCATTTGTGTCTGTGACTATGGTCTGAGTAATCAGCTGCCCCGGCCCCCATGGTCTCTCTCCCTTGTCATGGCCCCTTGGGGGCAGAAGACACTTCGGATTGTTGGCTCCAGAGCTACCACAATGCTGACCTAGCCATTGTGAGGTCCTCATCTGGATTCTAGGGTTTGGCCAGACAGTATGGTGACTGGCTTGTCAGGGACTGAAGGTTTCCTGGGATGTGGGGCTTTCAGTGCTAAAACTGGGGCAAGTCGAGATGGCAGGCCCCCCACCTGGCTCTTGCTTTCTGGTAAACAGTGCTTTGGAGAACCCCGACTTCCCAATGCCCCAGGTGGCTACATCTCACTTTCTCATGGGAGGAGCGAGGGCTTCCCCAGAGCCCACCTGCTCTGCACCTAGGTGTGCATCTGTGCAGACCCCTGAGGCCTTGGGCAGAGCTGGGCCACTTTACCACACCTACAGTCCGGCTCTCCAGAGGTCTGACACCAGTCAGAGCAGTAGCCTGTCTCAGAGGCGCCCCATGTGCTTCCCCCTTCCAGGTCTCCTGTCTTGGCAAGGAGCTGACATTGTTGGTCACTGAATACTTAGTGTCCCGAGAGAGAGACCTTGTCCATTCTGCTCATATCTCAAGGCCTTCCTGTCCTTCTGAAAGAGGTTTCCAGGGCTGCTGAGTTCAGCTGTGGACACTGGGCAGGTGGGGGCTACAGTGCAGCCTGGGCTGGGCTGCCCCCCACCCCCCACCCCCCATGCTCTGGAGCCGGGTCTCTCCTGGTGGAAGAGGCCATCTCATGGCCAGAAACTTGCACCGCGAAGCGTGATCTGAGGGCCAGCAACAGCTGCATCACCTGGGAGCTTGTTTGCAAGCAGGATCCTGGGCCCACCCCAGTCTTCCTGCAGCAGAATCCGCATTTTAACAAGATTCCCAGCTGATCCCTACAAGTATGTCATAGTTTGAGAAATGAGGGTCTAGAGGTGACCCTGGGCATGTCCTCGGGTTGGAGGGCAAAGGCTTTCCCGGTTCTCCCCCTGCCACCTCCAGGGATGTGAGTCTGGGCTCAGCCTCCTTCAACCCAGCCCTGGGAGACCCGTAGCCTCTTGGCTCTCTCCAGAGTCTGCACGACACTCCCTTTGAAGGGGATGATCACATCGCCAGGAGATGAGGGTTAGGCGTGCGTGGCCATCTGGATCCTACCTCTGGTTCGCCCCTGCACGCCAGGCGGCCTGCTCCAGGTCCTATCCCTGGCCCTGTGAGAGGCTGCTTCTGGAAGTTCCTCTACTCTGCTTAGACAGCATGCCCTTGCCTCTCTGGGAAAGCGTGGGCAGTCGGAGGAGCTCCCAAATCCAGACTCACGGTGTGAGCGAGCCCTTAGCTTCAGTCTGCAATAAAGAATGTGTTGGTTCCCTCTGCCTCCGGGTGGGGTTTGATTGGTTCTCCTCACACAGACCACCAAGAGCCCAAATGTCACCAGCCCACGTGCCAAGAGGGGCTGTTCCTCTGGTGAAAACACAAGGGAAAGGAAGCTCGATGAGGACCTTCAGAATAGCCCCGTGTGGGTGGAGGCACAGTCAAGCGGAGTGGATGCCTCGCCCGAGGAAGGGTGAAGGGACCTGCTCTCCCCACGACGCCCTTAGTGGTGCCAAACACTTTGCCATAGTAATTCATTCCTCTGGGTCCGTGGTTCTCAAAGAAGGGTCTCTGGGGAGGCAGCAGGAGCTCACAAAGGAGCTGTTTAGAAATAGAAATCCTCAGGCCAGGCTCGGGGGTGCAGGCCTGTAATCCCAGCGACTAGGGAGGCTGGGGAAGGAGGATCGCAGGTTGGAGACTGTAATGAGACCGTTTCATAAAAGAGGAGGGCGGGGCAGACTGGGGATGTAGCTTAGCACCCCAGGTTCAATCCCTAGTACAAAAACTAATTAAAAAAAAAAATATATATATATATATATATTGTTATAGATGGACACAATATCTTTATTTGTTTTTTTATTTTTATGTGGTGCTAAGGATGGAACCCAGGGCCTTGCACCCTGCAAGGCAAGCACTCTACCACTGAGCTACAGCCCCAGCCCCCAAAAAATAATTTTTAAAAGAAGAAAGGAATACAAATGTGCAGCCCCACCCACCCCAGACCTGTAGTCAGAAACACAGGGGTGGGGTATTGGAGGGTTAAGTACCCCGTTTGAATAAGCCCCCAGGTGGTTCTGATGCAGTCAGTTAGAGAACCATTGTTCTAGGGCTCAAGGCTTTGAGTCAGGGGTTTTTGTTGGTATTTTTGTCTTTTTGTTTTGTTTTGGGTATTGGGGTTTGAACCCACAGATGCTTTACCACTGAACCACATCCCCAGCCCTTTTCATTTTTTTATTTTGAGACAGGGTCTTGCTAAGTGACTAAGGGTCTTGCTGTGTTGCTGAAGCTGGCCTCGAACTTGTGATCCTCCTGCCTCAGCCTCCTGAGTTGCTGGAATTATAAGCAAGTGACACTGTGCCCAGCCAGGTTTTGTGTTTTAAATCTGAGACCAACTTGAGTTTGCCTTGAATTTGAGGCTAGACAAGTACCAGGCAGAGTCTGGTGCATTGCAGATGGTAACTCATCTGGTTCCTGTAACAGTCCCGCCAGCTTTGTAATCTGGACAAATCCCTTTGCCTTGTTCCCCATCTGTAAAATGAAATGGCTGCCCTAGGACATCCCCAAGGATCTCGTGACCACTTGTTGGCCGCTGTTTGTTAGATTCTGAAGGCCTTGCTGTCATTTACAACTGTCCCCTGTGGATTCGCCCTTCTCTACCCCGAAGATCAAAGAGAGGACTCCGACGTGCTGTTTCCTGTCCAATCCTGGTTCACAAAGATCGCTGGGTCAAGCTCTCCATCTAACAGGGCCAGTCCTGCTGTCCTCTGCCTGCCATAGGGTAATTTCCAGTGGCATAGTTTTTCCCAGGGTGTCCAAGTGGGGATGAGACTTCAGAGTCTGGTTCTAGATGGGTCTTTCCACACAGGGAGGAAACCTGGATTGGGATTGGCTAGACATGACATGGCTTAGGGTGAGTGGACACAGCAAGGGGGGATTTGGAGGCTGAGAGCTGGAAGAGTCTTGAGGAGTAAACTCTTTTGGTGCTGTTGAGAATTCAGCAACTTGGTGTTCCTTTAAATGACTCTTTCAGAAAGCTCTGGGAACAAACAGTAAAGTTATTTACCACTTTCACTTCTCTGGCAAGAGTTTCCTGGAAGAGTGCACTTAGGCTGAAAAAGTTGGTGGAATATAATGTGGACAGGAAGCTGCGTGGGGCCAAAGGAGATTGTGAGTTTCCCCAAAATACCGTGCTGGACATTGGAACCAGGATTTGAAACTGCCCTACCTGAAATGTGCCTGTCCCTTCTCAGAAAGCTAGCCAAGGGGCGGGGTGCAGTCCTTGGCAGGGTGAGTTGGCAGCCGTCCCAGAGAACCTCAGCAGGGTTCTGGGAGAGTTGCCAACACCAGGAAGGGCAGCCTGGGAGAAGAGCGGGGCTGTGGGCTGCTGGGCAGGAAAACCCTCTCGCCCACAAGTAGCCAGACTGGGCTCCGACTGGTGTCTTAGGGCCTGGCAGTCTGGCCCCACCCAACCCTGGGAGAGGGGAGCCCTCATGGAGGGCCTAGTGTTTCCTGGCCTAGGCAGGCACTTGAAGCTCGCTCACTTACTTTTAGCAACACCCATCTTGATGGCTACAGAATAGACGAGGAGCCAGGCCGGGGGGCTTGGCAAGGCTCCAGGAAGCAGCAGAGATCTGGCTGGGTTAGACTCCATGGCTTCGCTGCTGCAAGTCCAGGGCCTTTGCCGTGAGCCCAGCCTCTGAGAGCCCGACCAGAATAGCATAAGTGACTGGTCGTTTTCTCCAGCTGACACCCTATTTCTTCTGTTGTGGGTCTGTGATTAGGTCTCTGAGCCTCTCCTAACCTACTCTATAAATGGGTGCTAACAGTGCCTCATGCCTAATGCCAGCACCTCCTGCCAGTTAACCAGCACATACGGTAGGTAAGGACGTCAGCTGCCCGCCCACTTCACACATGGACAGCCTCCTCTCATGGCCACCCACACCTGCCCTCGGTGGGCACAGCCTTCAGCATCCGCCAAGAGCCTTGCCCCTCTCATGGCAATGCAGAGCTGCTTGCTGCATTGCCCTGGGGGCTGATGGGAGATTTAGACCCAGAGGGAATAAGAGATTACAGTTCTCCACTTGTCCCATCCTCATAGCTACGTAGCCCGAGTTCAATCTCCCAGGACAATGGATAAGGCCAGGTGCATGAGTCATCAGCAGAGGCAGCTGCACACCTTATTCACTTCCTGTAGAATGGAAAGCACCTAAGTTAAGGTGCCTTCCAGGATGGGCTTGTGAGTCTGCCTCAGTGTTCAGTTCGGGGGTTGTCATTCACAATGCCATCTCCAAAACAGGCACTATTTACAAGAACAGACCCCCTGAAGCTGTGCAAGGGGTATTACTGCCTTTGGACCATTTATTTGTAAGAGGATTGATCAGCTGCAGGCAGATTCCCAAGCTACCTCAGCCCTCCGTAAACAGCTGCATCGCCCTGGATGCTGAGGTAGGCACCAGGAAGGAGCAGAGCTCTGGCTGGGTTAGACTCCATGGCTTCGCTGCTGTAAGGCCCATACCTCTTCACTTAAAGAGTCCCTCTGCACCTTCACACAAAGTGTGCAGAGGATCATTCCAGATCATCTGCTGCAGTCCCAAATGACTCTCCATCAATGCTGAAGCATCACAATGGTTTTCCAGGATCGCTGTTACCTGCCCCCTGTTGCCCCTCTAATTTCTTTCCCTGCATGCAAAATACACCAGCTCCCAGCCATTCCCCCAACATCCCAGGAGCACTCATGTCCCAGGGGCTGTGCGTTAAATTCCTTGCCCACAGTCCCATGGCCAACTCCCTTATTCTCTTCAAGTTTTGCTCAAATCAAGACCTACCATAGCCACCCTCCATTCCATCCCCAGCACCTCTCCATCTCCCTTAACTGCTCACCTCTGTCTTCACCCATAGTGCTTATTATCTAATAGACTCCATACTTAATTTTTTCTGTGGCTTCGTGTCTGTTTAATCTTTGTCTTGGTCTCTGCTGTGTCTCCAATTCTTGAGCAATGTGACACATAGTAAGTACACAATGTCTACTTACTGGTTGGCTGAATGAATGTAATGCCACTGATGTTTGAAGACCTCTGCTTCGGAGAGAATTGCTGCCTGATGGGAACTATCAGCTCAAGTTCCGATCCCACATTAAATACCTGAACTTTCCACCAAAGGGCAAAAAACTAGGGGAAAAAACTTCCTTGCAAGTCATGGCTTTTCCTGAGTGGCCAGGATCCAGTAGGTATGGCCTGAGAGAGGACAGGCAGTCCCCAACCCTGCCCTCTGGCCTTGTAGCCTGAAATCCCACCATTATGAGGTTGTCAGGCATTGCCCTCTCCCTGTGATCTCATCTCAGCCCCTGACACCCTGACACAAGGATTCTAGAGACAAGGTTAAAAGGCTGGACCAAGGGCTGGAGCTGTGGCTCGGGAGTAGAGCACATGTCTGGTACAGGTGAAGCACTGGGTTTGATCCTCAGCACCACATAAAAATAAGTAAATGAAATAAAGTTATGGTGTCCATATACAACTAAAAATTTAAAAAAAAAAAAGAGTTTGGTCCAGACCCTTGCTACTCAAAGTGGACCTTAGACCATCAGCATCAAGTAGCATCTGGGGGAATGTTTGAGATGGAGAGTCTTGGCTGGGAGTGCAGCTCAGTGGTAGAGTGGACACTGAGCAAGCAGGGCAGGGGGCCCTGAATTCAGTCCCTAGTACCAATTAAAAAAAAGAAAAAGAAAAGAAAAAAATAGAATCTAAGAATCTGCCCTTTAACAAGACCTACATATTATTAATGGACATGAACGTCCTACTAGGCACATTCAACTATGGGCTTATTGTTTCTACTGGACACAAATCACAAGTTGACATGAAACTTCACAGAGTCTGTATCCTTAATTAATCATAACAAATGAAATTGCAACGGTACATTGTCACAGGTAGGCCTGTTAAACAGTGCTTCCTGCATGCTCTCACCATCTGGGCCTCTTTTTCTAGGTTTGGGGAAACATATGACAACAGATTTCCCCAGGAGGGTGGCTTTTGAGTGTTAGCATTCCTAGGACCAAGTTTATCAGCTGCTCAGTGTTTCTATTAGAGAAAGGACTGGAGCCACCCAAAGGTTGATGGGAAGGAAAAGAACCAGAGGTACAAGAAGGATCAGAAGAGGTGGAAAGCCGCCAACACAAAAATACCCACTAGCAGGACACGGTGTGTCTGTGCTTGGGCTAAGTGCTGTCCTGTGACAAGCTCATTTCATGCCCACAGTGAAGGGGAGGTCCCTGCCATTTTTTGTTTCCTTTGCACAGATGAAGAGACAGCCTTGGAGAAGGTGGAGGGCCCGGCTACAGTCAGAGATTAGCAGGGTGGTAATCTGCCCTTTAACAAGGGACATAAACGTTGAGTTCACAGCACCTCCAAGAGCAGAGACCCCTCTCAGTGCAGGGTGCCCCATCCCAGCATTCTTCCTGGTCGCAGGCCCTCACTGGGTGTTGACTGAATGTCAAGCCCAAGACGCTTGGACCACAGTCCTGGTCTCTCGGAATCAGGGTGCTAGGCCCAGGCAGGGGCTTACAGAAGGCCCCACCTAAGCTGGAGGAGGTCATTGAGCTGTGACCAGCCATCCCAGAGAGCTGCTCCCTTGTCCCTAGGGGCTCCTCTATCACCCCTAGAGATGTGTATTTCCTGACACAGTGGCCTGGGTCCTTCTAGTGCCCATCTGAGAAGCTCTGTAACCAACCAGAGCGTGAACCCCAGCGGAGAGGTGGGCTTCCTCAGGCATCCCCCAGTCCTCCAGGGTCTCTCCCTCCCCTCCTCAGGAAGACTCCTTACAGCTGAACTCTTCAGAGGATAAGGCAGACTGAGAGTGAGAGCACTCTTCCCACCGAGTTCCTGAGGGAGTATTCCAGAACGTTCCAGAGGGAAATGGAGTGACTTGCCCAAGCATGCTGGGAGTTGATGGTAGAGCCCAGACGATGGTCCAGGTTTCCCAGCTCCCTGCCCCGGGCCTTTCTCTGGCCCTCCCTGGTTCCTGGCGTTTGGGAGCTCCCGACTTGGCATTCTTGGCCTCTCCTCCATGGCTACTGCCCCCCTGGCTGTGCCATGGGAGTGAGTCAGCCATTAGTGCCCTTGTCATTGAAAAAAGCAGATAATGACTCTAACCTACTTTCTCGAGGTCAGCTCACTAGTAAGCGTTTTAAGACATTTTGAAGGAAATGCTTCTCAGAGCCTCCTTCAGAAGAGTGATGGGTAGGTACCTCGTTGCTCCCAGGAAAGGGACCCAACTCCTGTCTGGGCTGCAATAAAGAGATGCTGTGGGCAGTGTGCTGAGAATCTGATTCCCAGAGACTACCACCCCAAGACCCCTTTCCCCTTCCCCCAGGATTCTAAGCCATTTCAAAGTGGCAGCTACCCCAATGGCTTTCCTTACCCTCAAAGACCTGTGTGCACTTCCAGCCAGAGCAGGAGGAGGCTGAGTCTCCCACGGGAGATGCCTGGCATCCCCACCACACGGGAGCTATCCCACAGGGCACTCTTTGGCTTCATGCCAACCCTTATTCTGGCCACCTACCAACTTTCTCAGGTACCTCAGAACACGCCTCCAGCTCTCCTCAGAGAAGAACGTGGGGCTGGCACAGGCCTATACATTCAGTCAACACCAGGAAGAATGCTGGGATGGGGCACCCTGCAGTGAGAGAGGTCTCTGCTCTTGGAGGTGCTATGAACTCAATGTTTATGTCCTTCCAAAGTTGATAGTTGAAGTCCTACCTACCCTCCATGTGACTGTATTTGGCGATAGGGCCTGAAGGAAGTAATGAAGGATAAATGAGGTTTTAAGGGTGGGGACCCTGATTCCCTGGGATTAGCATCCTTATAAAAGATACCAGAAAGTGTCTCCCTCATGCACACACAGCAAGGACAGGCCACGGGAGGACACAGCAACAGGCGGTGTCTGCAAGTCAGGATAAGAGCCCTTGCCAGAAAACAAATGGACTGGAACCTTTATCTTGGACTCACCATCTTCCAGAACTGTATGGAATACATTTCAATTATGAAGCCACCCAGCCTGGCCTATTTGTTATAGCAGCCGCATGAGAGGCCTACAAAGGGAGAAGGTCCTCCACTAGCTGGGAGGCAGGCGCAGGAAGAGGAATGACTACTGCATCACGGCAGACAGCTGTTCTCGTGCCCTGCCATACACCAGAAGCAACTGGAGATCGGCACACCCTTTCTCAACTGGACCCCACCCCGGAATTGTGGGTAGAACTGTGCCAGGCTGTGACTTGAGCATGGGGAATGTGAGTGTTAAAATCTCCCCGATGAGGGGCCGGGTTGTGGCTCACTGGTAGGGCGCTTGCCTGGTATATATACAAATCTCCCCGATGATTCTAAAGTGCAGCAAAGTCTGGGAACCACCACCCTAAGAGCTATTCTAAAAACATGGGAGCAGAGAGCAGAGCATGGGAGAGGGGACAAACGGATGGGCAGGTGAGAGGAGTGGACAGGAGTACTCAGGCAGAGGGCCCAAGAAAAGACAGGACAGAGAGATGCTCATGGAGGAGTCTGTGTCTGGTGATGGAGGGAGAAGCAGTAGGACTGGATCCTGAGTGGCTTGGATGGCATGTGGAGGAGGTCAGGGTTAAAGCAGGAAACACCTGGAAGCCCACAGAGGACCGTAAGCAGGGGAGGGACACAACGACATTTGGGAAGATTCCTGGGGATGGTACGGTGCACAGGCCACAGGAAAGGCAAACCTTCGTTCACTCACTCCTTCTTCATGTCTCCCACACTTGACCATAAACTCTATGAGGGCAGGACCCTTGTGGAAGGGAAGAAGCCAAGAAGTGTCCTGCTAGTGATTCTCTCCCTTGATCACACTTTAGAATCACCTGGGGAATTTTGAAAGTGCACAAATGCGCAAGCCCTATTCACAGGGATACAATTTGATTGGTCCGAACCCATTGTCAAGTGAGATTCAATTTGTCTACACAAGAGTCTCAGCACTGGAAATTTTTTTTAAAGATGTTTATTTATTTTTTTTAGTGGTAGTTGCACACAGTAACTTTATTTATGTGTGGTGCTGAGGATCAAACCCAGGGCCTGGCACTGCTGGGCGAGCGCTCTACCACTGAGCCATAGCCACAGCCCCAGCACTAGTAATTTTGTTCTTTTAAACTGGCCTCATGTGATTCTAATGTATGAGCCAGGTTTGAGAACCACAGGTCTCTAGAGATGAAAGAAGTTTCGAAAGGGAACAGACTCCTGACTCCTAATTAGAGAAAGGAGTGGACCATTCACTTTATTTCATCTGCCTAGAACCTGGGATCTTCATTCACATGAGAAAATGGCATCTGCTGGGTGCCTGACAAGGACTTGAGATGGAGGGAGGGCGATGATGGACAATTAGAGACATTTGCTGAGCATCTACTGCGTGCTGGGCAGAAATTTTTACAATGACACATTTACTCTCCTCAAAACCATCTTTAAAATGCAGAAACTGAGATTCAGGTGCAGGTAAGACACTTGCCCAGAGGTAAACATCTGGCAAGTGTTTAATTGTTTAATTGGGCTGATTAATTCCAAAGCCATAGGTCATATCCAGACATCCCCATTGTCCCGGGAGTGATCAGAGCTGATGGAGCCATCTCCCCTCTGAAGTCCTCCTTGTATCCACAGTTACCTCTGGTGCATCACCTTCTCAGGAAGACCCAGGATCCTGGACACCAAAGTAGATGGCTGGGCCAGGCTGAAAGGGGCACGGACAAAGAGTGGAGCGAGGCTGGGATGCGCGGGACGGGAGAGGGAGTTATTGGGCATGGTTGCCAGGTCTGCAGTAGGCAGTGTGTCCCGTACTTTGGAGTTGTGCTTGGTCCTTGC